TATGACAAAAGGTATGGCTTCTGTGCCAGGTTACTTTTCAAGCTGAAACCAACAATCAAGAACAATCTCCAGAATCTTGCCAAGTCCAAGTACCGAAGTTTGACTTCGAAGACAGATTTGGATTTTCACTCGATCATGGGAAGTCTTTCCTGCCCAAGCCAAATTCCCTTAAAGAGATCTCACAAGAGATGTGCAGGGTCTCTGTTGTTCTGATCTTTGTGCTGGAGAAGTCTCACAGGTTGTAGCTTGGCTAGAACAGAGTGTGTATATATTTACATACAGAGTATGTATATGTACATACTGCATTATATACAATACAAATAAAATACATATATGTATTTTACACAAAAAACTCAAGGAACCAAGAGAGAAAAAAAAAAAAAGTCATGGATTACCCAGCCTAGCAGAAGCTTCCCAGTATATGAAGTATAGAAGTTGATGCATATGCTCAGCCTTGCCCGTCCTGGACCCAACACAGCTCATGTACGTTCAGAATAGTTCAGTGCTTGTGTATTCATCAGCATCAAGGGTGGACAGAATGTTCTCCATACATCAGATGGAGATTTATTGAAAAGACAAGGAGGGTATGTATGCATACGTAGGAGTAGAGAGGAATTCATACAAATTTGGGGAGGGCATGGGAAGAGAGTAAAAATATTTTATGTTTGGAAAACTCTTGAAGTCAGTAATTGAACACACATAATTGCTCTGTACAAAAAATTTTAAAAAATAATAAAAAAAAATCTAAGTGTTGTTCATATGAAAAGGTTATACTTTCATATTGATATTAAGAGGGTACAGTAAAGAAATAGCCCCCAAGTTTGTAAACATTCAAGTTGTGATTTAAATTGCTGACTTTTAAGTAATCTGAAAACAATGCAGTTGCTTGTCTGAAAAACAAAGGTTTATGTTTATGACCTTCTGAAAAGTTGTGTTCTCTACAGTATAGCAACTGTGGTGAGAAGCAGTGACAACCCCCAGCTTTGGAAAAATGCTGTTGTTGATTAATTGCAATATATTTCAACTGTGTATAGATTTCTCCCGGTCACCCAATAAAAACACTGTTTTCATTCTTTGGAGATGAACAAATCTCTCTTGTGTGCTCAGGTTCTTTCCAGCTTAGTACACTGTTTCTTTTGAAGGATATTTTTCCCTGGGTTGAATTTAAGAACTCAGGGCACCTTATCACACTTCACAAGCTCCCTTTCTAAGGGGGGAAGAGGAGGGGGAAGGAAACCCTTGAGGGCTTGCGCCAGTTAAATCCCAGCTCTGCGGGGATTTGTTTTTCTTTTGGTGTTAGATTAAAAGTTCAAACTAAGCGGTGTTGTGAGACTGCGTGTGAGTGTCCACCGAACCCTTAACGAGTCTAATCCCAGACCAGCACATTCCAAACAGCTCGTGGGTGCAAGGGCTTCGCTCGCTCTCTCATCTCCGTGCCAGGACAGACCGAGCACCTTGCTCGGGGGGCGGTCGCCAAGCTGCTCTTAGCGCTGATCGCCAGCAGGGAAGCGTGGGCTGCAGAGTTTGCTCCAGGACACAAACACAGAGTTTGACGCTCAGGTAAAGAAGAGGGAGAAAAAAAATGTTTTTGGTGGGATTTTTAAGCTTTATAAAGAGAGAGGGACTTAACACAGATCTGAGCTATGAGTAAACTAAATCCAAGTATAAGTATGGCATGTACTTTAGGAATTCACTGTGGGCTTCAAGTTGTCTTATGAATTAATGCTGAAAGAGTGCTTATGAAATAAGAGAAAGAGAAGACAAGCTGCTTGCTCTACTACTGTTGAAAATACTTTGCTATGCTTTTCTGAACTATTGAACTACTTTTCTACTTTATTAATTCACATTATGAACAAAAGGTTATTAATGTGTTGATTTCCTCAGGTTATTCTAATTTTGTTATGAAGACTCTATGGCAAGTAACAATATATACCTCTGAACCTTGTATTTCATTGCAAATTATCTCTGTTACAGAGATATAACTCGCGCAGGGCAGTGAAATACAATGCTTGCTTTCTTGCTTGCTTCCTGTGTGTCTCTTTCTTTTTCAAATGAGAAGGAATTATGAAATTGCTAAATCATGCTTTCAGGCACTATGACTCTGTTAGGTGGAATAGTACATTGTTTGAGATTCAAAAGCTGGAAGGTCTATTTTACCTCATGTAAATAAATAACTTTCTAAATCAAACTATTATTTTTTCAATATTACATTTGCAGAAGTATGATGAAAATTCAAATGCAAATTATCATTATGTATAACATAGCTCAATTTCTATTCAACTTTCAAAGGCAGCATGGAAAAGAGTAGGAAAACAAATTTTAAATGTCAGTTTATTCAGTTTTGAAAGCTTGCTTGTATACTTAAGTAAGTTTTCTGTGAAGTACCTGTTGTGGCAACTTTTTGTACTGGATCTTGAGGCTTAGAGAAATTGAATTAGTGGTCACCTTTGGAAAAGATACACTAGGACTATGCAGTAAGTAAGTTCGCCGATGTAATTTTTTTTTTCTTTTTTTTTTTTTTTTTCAGAAAAGTATGTAAAGTGTATGAAATTTAATAAAGGATGTTTTTCGGGAGTGTTGACAGTATGAATTATAATCATATGTTATATGAGCTGAAGAAAATTTGGCTTATAAAAGATTTTCATGCTTTCTAGAGAAGATAAAGTCATGTATTTAATGTTAAAACTAACAAGATGAAGATAAAACTGCAAATGTCCATTTATTATCAAAAAGTTTCTATAAATACGTGTATATATATATTTATATATGCATAAAAAAAAGGAGACTCATAAATCTGCAGCATCTTGTCAGTGTGTGTCTTCTTAAGGCAATATGGAAAGCTCATTTAGTCTTGGAGCTCAAAGGGGATAAAGTTAAAAAATATGTGGTCCATACAGTAAAGTATGTAATTTCAAATGTTAGCATTGCAATACCTGAATAATAGTTGTAATTTCTTTATTTCTCTACAACACTCAGCAAAAATAAAACCCCTAATTTTCCCATGTAGTTTACTTTCAAAAGTTCTACAGTAAGAAGAACACATGAAGTTCATAAAGTTTACTCTAGATGCTTTGACAGTTCTAGAAAGTTAGTTTATAAAAAGCCTTTATTTTCTGGAAAAGACTACTAAATGGAGAAATTACTCAGTAATGCCTTAGACATCTAAGCTCATTTGACTGTATGATATACAATATTTTGATGACAATGATGATAATTATTGTTATTATTATTATTGCCTATATCATAGGCTTGTAAGCATGTAGCAGTTGTAATAAATTAGAACCTTAAGATAACTTCTCCTACATAAACTGATTTTTTTTTTTGCTTTTTCAGAATTTTGTTAAACTGTGCTTTGTGTAAAAATGAAACAAAACCTGCCCCACTTTCTAGAATATATTCACTTTCTATTTGCCACCTTAAGAAAGAGCAATCAAATGCAGTTCTATTTAATGTTTTTAATAAACTTTTATTTTTCCTGACAGTAGGAGTCTTAATAGGATGTCTGCCATTCCTACAAATTTAACAGGTTTTTTAAAATAAAAATGAGAATAGAGTAAGGTAAAAATATTCTTATGTAACATGAGTTACCATTAGGTCCAGTCAGGGATTATCTTCTCTGAAAAAGACAAAAGAATCTTTTTTTGTGTGCTGAGAGTGATAAATGATGAGTATAACTAGAAATATTGTGGTACTTCATAGTTTATATTAATGACATGCATTGACTCCAAGAAACATCCACAGTTCATGATAATTTTCACAAGTCCCAGAAACCTGTGCTTCTGGATTTAAACATGAAAAACAGGATGTAGATTGATTTGACAATAAGGTAACATGAGATAGTAAGGCAAGATAGTTTACCCTTTAGTCTTGCAATTTCATATTTTGTCTTTTTATAGAAGTGAGATGCTCAGTTTTCCTGTATATTCTCTAGAGCTCATTTCACATTACTTAACCTTTAGGTAACTTTGTCTTAATTTCTAATTCTGTTTATGCTGTGGAATGAAATAGGTAACTTTAGTATTTAAATACATTTTATGAAATGTATCTGTTTGCAATTAATTTTCAAAGGAAAATTTCAACTAATTTACTTATTAAATGAAAGAATTTATCTGAGGGAATCTTTTAGAGACATTCCCAGAATTTGGATTATATGGAGTGAGGTCTGAATAGTTTAAAAAAGGATTTCAGAACTCTGAAAGTCTTGTTTGTTGGGGGTTTTTTATTATTATTTTTCCTATCCATCTATGTTTCTTTTAGAAAAGATCTTGTGTATATGTAAAAGTTAAGACTACACTGTAGGAAATTACTTACTTCTCTGCAAATATGTTGGGGAAGATCTTGAGTGTTATGAACAGGCATAGTTTCATTGAACTCAGTCAGTCTTAGAGGTTACATCAGCTCACCATTTGTAACTTAAAGATTTTTGTGTCTCATTTCAGAAGCATCTCTTCCTTTCTTTTTTTTTCATTAAGAGATCCACATATGAAACTAGTTTCTGGCTCCATGATAAACAACACTCTCAGTACTTGTATAAACAATTGCATTAGAATTATATTCTAAGCTTTATTGTAATATATTTATTTTCTAGTTTCTGAGATTTTTTTTTAATTTAAACTGACTTAGTTTAGTTGCTAAAATGGAAATACATTAATTTTTTTTAAGTATTTTTAATGAACACGCATGTTTTTTCTCTACCATGTAAAAAGTTTTCCAGTTTGAATTTATTCTTCTCCAGTGATTCCTACTATAAAGAAAACAGATGACAGCATCAAAGTCATCTAGCTAGAGAATATGAAACAATCTTAAGATCTTGTGTTGGATGCTTATCTCTGGCAGGAAACCATAGTTCTAATTGAAAAAGTTTCTCTGTGCAAAATGTGCTTTGTGTACCTGCAAAGCCAGTGAAGTTTTCTTTTATGTTTGAAGTTCCCCTTCAGTTGTACTATAAGTTGTGTTTAATAAACAAACAGAGTTTACACCTTTTCTCTTCTCTTTTTTAGGCACAGAAATCATGGATAGAAAGAGCATTTTACAAGAGAGAATGTGTTCACATCATACCCAGCACCAAAGACCCCCATAGGTAATGGTATGCTATTTGTGTGAAAAATGGAAATCAGTTACAAGATAACATTTATGTGCATGTGTGCATATGTATGTACATGGACATAAATAGTTTTTAATTACTTATTTGATCAAAAGGTTGTTGAATTACATCTGGAGTGATGTATTCCTGTGGGCACTATTTCTTTAAGTATCAAAACGTATTTAATAAAAAAACCCAAACAAACACAAATCAAAGTTTTACCAGCACCTATGTTTAATTTTCTTCTTTCTTCAGTATTCAGTGCCATAAATATTTAGCTCAATTGGATGCATGACACACAATACTATTGAAAGAAAATAATTGCAGTGAATTATCAAGGTAAAACACATGCTAGTCCATGCAAAAGCTGGTTACTTGGCCTGATGTCATTTGAAGACAGTAGAAAATGCTATTTAACTTCATTTTGTATGCTTTTAGAACAAAGCATTGTTTTATTGAAATATAAGAGAGTCCAAGGTAAACAATATCATAGAAAGAAAAAATAATATATATATTATGTTGCTTCTACAGTTAGAGGCTTCAGATAGCAGAAAAGTATTGAGCAGAGTTGAAAAAGAGTATCTTTTGAAGGTTTGTAGACCATTTCTGTGTTCAGTTCATACATGCACATGACTCAAGTTTTCTCTTTAATGTCATAGGTGTTGCTGTGGGCGTCTAATAGGTCAACATGTTGGACTGACTCCAAGCATCTCCATTATTCAGAATGAGAAAAATGAAAGCAGGCTGGCTCGCAATGACATCCAGTCAGAGAAGTGGTCCATCAGCAAGCACACACAGCTCAGCCCGACGGATGCTTTTGGAACCATTGAGTTCCAAGGAGGAGGCCACTCCAATAAAGCCATGGTAACTGTGCTTTTATCTTAGATACATAGAGCTCCTAGCTCAAAAGAAGGCATTCACAAAACATCATTATTTCTTAACTTCATCCTGAAGTATTGTTTAAAGACTGTGCCATAGGGTTTAGTGTTTTATGTGCCAAGGGACTGGTGAACAGGATTAACTGTAAAAGAAGGAGTGCAGCGTAAGGGGCTACCTTTATGAAGATTCAAGGCATGCTCATATGCTGCTATCTTGATTTTCTTCCAGTGATTCTTCAGCCCTCTTTTTCCAAGTAATTTTAGAATTCAATTGTGGTTTCCCATTGCTGGGTGTGTCTGCAAGGCTGAGAAATTTGAAATATACCAAATTTCTTTTAATCTCACTTGAGACATATGTTGAACCAGTTAGACTTACTGGTTCATCTTTCAATGAAATAAGAGGCCTAGTAACTGTTTAAGCTAGGAATTGGGAAATTTCTATCCTATGCCACAGATTTCCCTCATAAAGTTACTTTATCATAGTCCGTACTATAGAGCAAAACCGAAGCATAGTAATCTGAAGGTATTGCTCCACAAAGTTGGAGAGATGTTTCCAGCACCCACACTAACCTGTGCATCTACTTCTTCTGTGTGGCATTACATGAAAAGAAGAAGCTCTCTGGCTCTATCTAATAGGAAGAAACTGAGACACTGAGAATGAAAGATGAGTGTGTACCTAGCACATGGTGGCCAAAACACTTGTTTGGGTGGCAGTGAATGCAGAAGCAGAACCCCTGGGTGCTCTGCAGAATAACCTGCCCAACAACTCAGAAGCATCTTTGCCTGAATTCTTCCCAACAGTTCTCTCACTTCTGTTATGGTTCTAGATGGACTAGATGCAATTAAGAAGTCAGGTGCTATAATCACAAGCACCAGATATTTTCGTTAGGTGGATGCATAGGTGCTGAAGATGGAATGACGACTTGAGTGGATTTTTCTGTTTGCTCAGGTAGATGGAAAAATGATGTCTTTTTCCTGAGAGTATCACAAACATCAGCTGATAACCAGTCACCTAAAAATCTGCAAGACCAGTGCTAGAAAGAGAATCTGATTCAGTAAATAACACTTGTTTAAAGTGAATAAATTTCCACCTCCCTGAGCACTGAAAGGAATCAAAGCATTCTGTTGGTATCTTCACAAGGAGTGGGAACAAAATAAAATGCTTTTCACCAAAACTCAGAAAGATTCAAAGATACAGTAACTATCGTGCCATTAAGCATATATGGACACTTTGCATTAAATGTGTGTTTATGAGAGAGTGCTTTTTAAGTGACATCCTAGAAGAACACTATAAAGCCATAAACTGCCCTGCTGAGATAAAGTAGTCTCGGGTTAGCCAAGAAATGATGGTTTAAGGAAGCTGTTGATACCAATTTCTCTAGAGGATTTCTAGTGAGCTGGCACAGTGCCATAAGAGAACAGGAGATGTTCCAAGATACATGCTGTCTTCTCAAGGAAGTATACTCAAAGTGAAAATGTGGAGATAAAATCGGAATTTGACACGAAGGAAAGAGAAATCTCATCACAGAGTGCAGTCAGGAACGAAGGTATGAAGAATTTAGAAAAAATAAGACAAGGAGGGGTTAAAAAAAGGCTTGGAAAAGGAAAAAATGTATAATAATCTTTGGAAACATTCTTGTTCAGACATTCTTTTTGCAAACCCAAAAGCAGAGAAACTGGAACACTGACAGGGAGAGGGGGAAAGAGAGAAAAGGGAGAAAACATGACAAACGAACGTTTGTTCTTTGCCAAAAAAAAATGCTACTTAGTTATTTTCTAGATACTAGATATCTTATATCACTATAGCCTACAAGCTGAGTTTTGCTGACCATCATGGTAGGTTACTAGTGTGCCTATTGGCTAATAGAATAACCCTAGAAAGCAGTAAGACAGCAAGCTGACCAGCATCAAGGAAAGCCTGAGGGGACAAATTCATCACTTGTTCCTTACTTTATTTCCTGAAATGGATGCCCACTCATGAAAAATACTAAGCAAGGGAGACAAAGAACTAACTGGTATTATCTCAGTCTATCCTAAGAGTCAAACTGGTATTTTTTTCTGAATCAGGCTACAAGGAATGAGATGGGATTTACTAATAAAAACTGTAACCTCAGATTTACAATTGGGAAAATTTTAGTTAACTAATGGGACAGATTAGGGTGTGTAGAGACTGGCAGATAAGTATTTCCTCTATTGGAACTAATAGAATTAGATTTTAATAATATGTACACAAAATTAATAGTAAATATATGTATACTTCATAGGTATATTTGCAAGGCACAAATACAGTGGCATAATATTAGATCAGTTGTCACCAGACAATTAACAGTGGCAATTAACATTTTTAGCTGTTAAAATGAAAATACCACTAAAATTATAATAGAAGATGTGCATTTGGAACAAAACAGAAAAATTAATGTAGGTTGTCATATTGCCAGTAGAGCTGACTGTGCCAGAAATTTCATTTCCACAGCTACATAGAACAAAAATTCTCAAGCAGCATGAATTTTGCTAATATCATATTGTTGTTAAAGTATCTTCAGGGGGGCTGCATTAGCTACTTAAATCAATAATGTATCTGAAGGTTCAGTAAATTAGGTAGAAACATGTAGCCAAGATTAGATAAAACTGGTGAATGAGATCAATTTCTAAAGAAGCTTTTATTTCAGTCTTCATGTAACCACAGGTTATCCTGAAATAGCACTGTGTTTTTAGATCTCTATCTATCTTATGCGTTCCTTACAAGTGGCTCATCCCATTGCTCTTTAAGAACCACATTTAACAATTTTGCTGTTTACATTTACATTGTTTCTAGAGCAGATATTCAATTTCGACAGTTATAAAAAGATTCAAGAGGCACATGGAGATGCATATTTTATTAGCAGCTTTTGCAATAAATCGGTGGATTAAAAAATAATAAATAAATAAAGTGTAATCAACTTAATTAGTTGGCTCTTAGTAGTTTAAGAAGCAACATGGATGAGTTCATCTAACTATATACTGGCAATGTATTACCCTAATTCTGTGAGCAGTTATCAAGCTAATGTGAGGAATTCCATTCCAATTACAAGCAATGTTCTGAACAATTTCAAAATAGATTCTGATCATTAGCAGACCACTCCAGACAATCCTGCTGTGATGCAATTTGCACTGAATTTTTGACCAAAGTAAAAAAAATATATTAAATTTAATATCTGCCTTTCTGCACACATCAAACTAAACTAAAATTAAAAAATAAACCATCCTAATATTTTTTATTAATTGACATGCCATTCAATTTATAGAAAACTGCTGCTTACAGAACTGAAATTTCTTTGATCCTAATTTTTAAATTTAGATGGAAAATGACTGCTTAAAAAGCTTTAGTGAGTTAAATGTGCTCCTCCTAATTGAATACATTCCAATAATACATTTAATATGCACAATAAGAAGCTTACGTATGTTTGCAGCTGTAGAAGAAATATAGTTTACTCCAGTGCTATAAGATTAATCTTTCTTATAGTTCATGGAAAAATGAAAGAATATCAGAAGAATTCCAGTGTACATAAAATTTCTTAGACTTTTAAATATTAATTTCCTCAAAATGTTATCGTTTATTACAGATATTTGGAAATCAGCCACATAAGTGTATATTTCTGCCTTTAAAATATATTGAGCTTTATCAAAACTGTGCAAAAAGAATCTTAAAAGCCATCAGTGCTTTTGAGAAAAAAAAAAAGAAAAAGGGAGATAATTCTCTAACTTGCATAAACTGAGGAAAAGGTAGCAAACGATTCTCTTATAGCAAATCAATACTTCAAGAATATTTACAGAATTTAAAACATGATATCTTACATGGAGAGAAAGTGGGAATACCACAGAGAACTAGCTATCTGATGCCCATTTAAATCAATGAGGGTCCTTCCACTGACTGTTTAGTGGAACTTGGATGAGGCCTTAAGATGTTGAAAAGGATATTAATTTCTACAGAAACAGTCTCGTTTCATTCCAAGTAACAGTTTTTATGTTGAATTCAGTGAGAATTACATCAGGTCTGTTTTCTGTGTGAAACCTGCATTTTGAGGCCTTTAGCTTGAGAAAGTGTCTGCAGTGATGGAATCTCATTTAAGGCAGGTGAAATAACCACCTAGTACCTGCACTCATGAAAGAGAAAGAAAGGAGTAACATTGGATTGCAGATCACAAAATGTTCTCTGAGGAGTTTTTCTTCGAAGAAATACAGCAAAATTCTGAATCTTTCTATTTTATTCACTGAGACTCTCAGCTGCAATAATTCATTGTGTACTCTAATGAGACAGCAGTGCTAGAGTAAGAGAATAGGAATTTTAACACTCAGGAATTTCAACTTTTGCCAGAGGGCATTGGAGTCCAATTTGCAAGCATTGGACTGTTTGACTGATCATAGAATCATAGAATACCAGGTTGGAAGGGACCTCAAGGATCATCTGGTCCAACCCTTCTGGGTAATACTGTATTTTATATGAGATGGCTCAGTACCCTGAGGCACAGTTACTGTTTTAGGAAACCACTTGATAAAAAAGTGAAATAAGTATTGGCATCAAATGGCACCCTTGCAGAGTACTTCTGTTCTAGTTTTGGGATCAAATGGGAATGACAACTTGAACCTGATACTTTAATCATTTCTAAATCAGGTCATCCTAAGGTTTTGTAGTTCAAAACTGTACTTTTGCTTCCTATCTTGCCCTGCTCTGCTGACCCGTAACAACTGACCTCTTGCCTCCTACCATAAAGAAGGGAGTAAGCAATTAGGCATTTGAACCAATAATTTCTACCGCTGGCAGATACAATAGACACGGAGTTTCAAGGTAGAAGGGCAGTGGTTTATCTTACATTCTCATGTAAATTTTAAATATTCCTCTGGAGGCTATAGCAAATTAATTCAGGAACAGGACAAATACTTAATAAGATTCTAAACAAAAAAAATGAAAATGCAAAGTATTCTGCTAAAAGATTGGGGAAAAAAAAAATTAACATGGAAAAAATTGCCCTAAAAGTGTTTATTCATAATTTAATGCATACTTTAAAAGTGATGGCAAAAAAAAAATTATCTTGTACTTGCTAGTTAACATGTAAGTGACGAAAGTGTAATTGAGAATGTCCTCTGTAAGTACAAAAATTAACCAGACAATGATAAAAACCGAGGCCTATGCAGCTGATGCCATTTGTGCCTTCATTTAATATCATCCTAGATGATGCAGTGGCCTGTTTTCAGCAAACTTGTATGGCCATTCCTGATATGAATTAACTTTAATTATCTCCCCGTCTGTCTTCAAAAAAAAAAAAAAAAAAAAAAAAAAAAAAAAAAAAAAAAGGTACTAGTGTTCCCAGGATCTATGGTCATAGTTTGACCAGCAGATGTTTCATGTAGAATCCTTGAAGGATATTATCCATGTATTAATCTCTACAGTGTTAATATGATGTTGCTCTTTGCAGTCTTTGCTCTCCCTGAAGACACAGCAAAGGGGAAAAGGATCAGTCTCTTTACAAACCATCTGGTGTATTAAAACTTTGATAGCCCTCAAATCTTAATGGAAATTAAGATTTTCTCAACTCCCAGGCAGAAAATTGAATGTGTTGCTACTGAAGATGCCATTCATGTATATATAAGCTCAAGGGTACATTATGCTCTTGCTAGACATTAATATTGTATGTTCTTTGACTATTAGCTGTTGTGAATTTTCCTGGCTGCTGCAGATAATATTACCTACGCACTGCAATTAGTGTGCATTCCCTTGCTCAGGTTTCAGTTTGGCTGTGCCCCAGCTTACTGCACGGTGACTACTGGCCTCCAGAAATGTTAGGAATGGTTGTTTGCTCTGCAATAAACCATTCTTACAAAGAAACCTAACTATTATAAATTAATTCTGGAAAAAGTCAAGTCCCTTACTCTTATTCAACTAGAAGGGAGTCTATTTTGCTGTCATACAACTTACTGAGAAAGAATTTTTTGCCAACACTGATGAGACATGTTAAAAAGGGACAAAATTACTACATAATACCTGTGGATACTATACTACCTGGCCTGTTACTATAAGCAAGCTGGAACCAGGCATTCCTCTGTAACTACGCAAATCTTTCATTCTTAGGCATGAAAGCAAAGGTGCCTGTGTTACACACACTTGATGGCTGTTCTGAAAAATCCATCAAGTGAAAGACTGCTGAAGTAACTCTATATGTGTTGGTTCAACCAGATGTTTGATAGATACATGTCTTTCTATAAGCTATTTTATTCAATTAATAGGCTTCTTCCAGGTCTTACCAGCTATAGAAAAAAAATATATGCTCTTATGGCCCCTTTCTGCTATGTACCCATAGTAAAAAATTATCACCTGGCTTGTCACGGGCTTTGTGAAACCCTTCATACCTTATCTGCAGAAAGAGCACGAGAAAGAGCCCAGAGAGAAGGGCTTGTCAAGACAGACAGGTATGTGTGCAAGATGGCAGTGCTGCAGAAATATTGAAGGCAGTTGTTACATTTGAGCACACACAAATGGTTCTAATCTCCCTTGGGGCAAAATGCTGCAGATGTAGCACAGAAGAGCCTTGAAGTGGAAATGTGTTTCAAAGCCTTTTCAGGATCCTGTGCCTTGTTAGGCAAATTCATGAATCAATAAAAATCAGTGTGTAAGCCATAAGCTAACATTCATTCCTTTGAAAAGTAACTGTTTAGTAGTCTTGCTTGGTTTAAACTTTTGTGTGCTTGAACAAGCCAGCTTATTCCTGTTACTTCCTACCTTCTGAGATTTTATTACCTTGAAAATAAGAATCACATAATTACCAAGGCTGGAAAAGACCTCTAAGATCATCAAGTCCAGCCCATGACCAACACCACCACATCTGCTAGACCATGGCACTAAGAGCCACATCCAGCCTTTCCTTGAACACATTCAGGGACGGTGCCTCCACCACTTCCCTGGAAAGTCCATTCCAATGTCTAATCACCCTCTCTGTGAGGAAGTACTTCCCAATATCTAACCTAAACCTCCCCTGGTGCAGCTTCAGGCCATGCCCTGTTGTCCTGTCACTAGTTGCCTGGAAAAAGAGCCCAACCCCCACCTAACTACAACATTCCTTTAGGTAGTTGAAGAGAGTGATTAGGTCCCCCCTGAGTCTCCTCTTGTCCAGGCTAAACAACTCCAGCTCCCTGTAAGACTTTCCCTCTAGTCCTTTCACCAGCCTCGTCACTCTCCTCTGGACCTGCTCCAGCACCTCAATATCCTTCTTGAAGTGAGGGGCCCAGAAATGCACACAGAACTTGAGGTGAGGCCTCACCAGTGCTGCGTACAGGGGGAGAATTGCATCCCTGCTCCTGCTGGCCACACTATTCCTGATACAAGCCAGGATGCCATTGGCCTTCTTGGCCACCTGGGCACAGTGCTGGCTCATGTTCAACTGGTTGTCAACCAGTACTCCGAGATCCATGTGCTGGGCTGCTCTCCAGCCACTCTTCCTCCGGCCTGTAGAACTGCCTGGGGTTATTGTGGCCAAAGTGCAGGACCCTGCACTTGGTCTTGTTGAATTTCATTACATTGGCCTGGGCTCATTGACCCAGCCTGTCCAGGTCCTTCTGCAGCTTATTCCTACCCTCCAGCAGAGGGTAGAAACAAGTGTATGCACAGCTGTGACTCTGACTACCTATGTCATTTTTGGCAGACCACTTAGATTTTTGCTCCAGTATTTGGATTCATTAATTAAAAACATACATCTTTCAAGCATTGCTAAGCATATTGAAACAATTGCTTTAATTTCCTAAATGAAGCTTGTGAATTCTAAGTGTTTCCTAGTTCCTGATTTCCTAGTTCCCTAAGTTGAAAAATCATCAAGTTAGCTATTAGTGATTTTGTCATAAAGGTTGCCTTTTTCATTGATCTATTGAGCATACATCATATAAACCAGTGAGTATACCCAATCATATTTTATCACTGCCCTTATTTCTGCAGTATGTACGTGTGTCTTTTGACACAAAGCCTGACCTTCTTCTGCATCTGATGACCAAGGAGTGGCAGCTCGAACTCCCTAAACTTCTCATCTCTGTGCATGGGGGCCTTCAGAATTTTGAACTTCAGCCAAAACTCAAGCAAGTCTTTGGAAAAGGCCTCATTAAGGCTGCTATGACAACTGGAGCATGGATATTCACTGGAGGAGTAAACACAGGTAACAGCAAGATTGAAATAAAAGCACAGTGGTATCTAGGAAATTTAATTTCAGAAAAAATATTAGGTTTGATGAAGTTAAGAAACCATTTCATGTTCTATTTTATCAGTGTTGTCTGTACTATGTCTGAACAAGAAAATGGCAGCTAGCAGGAATAAAAAGTTTGCTAAAGTATGAACAGTGCACTGGGGAGCTGAAAATAAAACTTTCTAGTGAGGCAATTATTTTAGCCTATTGTCAGTGCAAACTTTATAAGATCAACAGTAAGCTACAGGGAGTACCTACCAGCCTGAAACCAAAGAAGTAAAACTCTGATTACATAAAATGAAAAACACTTTCATCCAGAAAACATCTTTATTTTATCTTCTAAGATGATCTGAAGAATGAAAGGAAAAAAGTTCTGTTCAGTGGATGTGATGGAAAACTTCATTGTGAATGAGTATCACTTTTCCCTTTCTTGTAGACGGCTTGACCTAGTGTTTTTTGTATTACCCCTGCAGCAATCCATCTCTATTTGAAGTTAAGTACATCTGTAACATACCAAATGGGTGTTCTAATGATAGCAGCTGGCCCAGCTTTGTTGGTTGACAGCATGTATATATTGGGAATAAGCTGCAAATCATAGTTCCCCAGATAATAAATGTTGTGGAGTGTCTTCCCAGTTACCCACCCTTAACGAGGGAGAAATGACGTGGGAGTCAGAGGAAAGTCAAAGAGTTCTGCTAGAGATAAAGGCAAAAAGTTTTGAGCTAGAACTTGTAAATTCTTACAAGTTTGCTGCAGTAACAAAACTGTAATTTATTATTTTAGTAAACCCACAGAATGTATCCTTTTACCATCTATAGAGAACATTGTAATCACTCTATCATGCATTAATTTTAGTGCATTGTGGATCAACTCCCATCCATTTTAGTATGAACGCTAATAGGACACTTGGGCTTTCTAGTTTCCAGAGCACATCAATAAATAAACAATATACAGTTTTATCACAGCAGCAATGTAAATATAGCGAAGAAGAGGCATAGCTTATAGAGTGCCAGATAAATAGACAGACTCACATGTCTGTAATATCCTCCACATGTCTGTAGAACAAGGAAGAAAATTGAGTTAAATGTTGACCCATACTCTGCAGTGATTATAGTTATGTTAGTTGCCACTACTCTTGTAGTGATGACAGATTAAAACAAAGAAAGACTACAGAAGTTTTGTGAAAAAGGACTGACTACAACATCAGCATTTGGGAAATGCCCAACTACTTCATACCATTTTTCAAATAATCATAGTTGCAAAAGCCAAAACAGTACAAATGAAAAAGGAAAGTCCACAAAATTACTGTTGGAAAGGATTTATTTATTTCCTGTAATCAAAGTACCTAGAAAAACCTATGAAGTTCAAGTTGCTGTGTGTTTTTTAACTACATATGATTCCGGAAACAGCACTGCATTATCAGTTATGTCTCATTGCTGTTTTTGACTTCTGGTGCAAAGTAGTTGGTTTCTTCAGGTCTAGATTTTCAAACTGTGGAGGTGAAGTGTAAGTGTTCTATCTTTATGTGAAAGTATACAAATTGAGCATTAATAAGTACATTTTTTTCTGTTGATGATGAATTTTTAAATCAGATTTCTCTTAAGGAGAAACTGAAATAATAGAAAAATCCTGAAATAATGCTGTTGGACTGAGAATCAGTAACGGGACAAAGAAGGTGCGTATCTGGCTATAACCGTGACTGTTAAATGACTTAAATAAGTTGTTCTCAATATTCATGTCATGCCAAAAGTTTATTATTTTAAACAACAAAAGTTTTTGCAGTCTGGACAGATTTTCTGATTTGAATCCTTTGGGTTGCCAGATCACGGCCGAATTAATAGCTTATTGAAGGTACAGGATTTTGTTCTTCCTTTTCCACCACAGGGAGGAAATGAGACTCCAGGACTTAGAGGATTTGTTAGGTTACAATGTTTTGCCTTACATTGTTCATTTAGGCTGTAGAAAAACTATGGCTATTGTCATTCCAATCTAGTTATCTTGAAAACATGTGATCTGAACGAGAAGCAAACACAGAAATTGAGTAAGAGACAACACCAAAGCAAATTCAGAGGTCTGCTTCTGTGCAGCCACATCACAAAAAAAAAAATAAATAGTAACACAGGGAGATAGACAGGTTAAAAAGAAAATATTGTATTAAGAGGAAGGAGGAATTGTACTTGTCCTCTGCAGAGAGATACCACTGAAACACTGACAAAGCTGCCCAAAAGCATCAGAGGAACATTATCAAAAAGGACTTGGAAGAGAGCTGGCAAGAAGTCATTATCTCTGTGCTCACTTCTGTTTTCTCACTGCTTCCCAGGGTGGTTTCTGATACTCTGCTTGAAGTTATCTCAGGTGACAGAGTTTGTTTAGAAAGAGTAGTAGAATAGCTTACCACAAAGTAGTGTAATGATATTTTCACATTTCCATCCTTTATTCAGACAGAAGGAAACACTTATATGTGAGGTATACTTTTCTGGGGGTTTGTGAGGGAGGCAGGAAGGGTTGTTTGTTTTCCTTTGCTTCTTTCTATGCTTGGGGAGGATATGCACATATGCACATATGTTTGTGAACACAAGTGCAGATAAACAAGTTACAGTTAGCTGTCAACGTTTACATTCGTATTTCTAGAGTTGTGTGGTTTTTTAATTGCTTCTTCATTTAGTATTTTTTAGATCAGATAAAATGGACTTATAATATTACTGTAGTAATAATCAGTAGGATTATATTAATCACTTTACTTAATTGTAAGTGTATGAACAGATATTCCTAAAACAAGCACTCTATATTAAATCCTTCCCATAACGAACCATAATTATTAATTTCTGATTTTTTGCTGTTTCTTTCCCAGGAGTCATTAGGCATGTTGGAGATGCACTGAAAGATCATGCCTCAAAATCTCGAGGGAAGATCTGCACCATTGGTATAGCTCCCTGGGGGATTGTGGAAAATCAAGAGGATCTGATTGGCAAAGATGTAAGCCCTATATGGACATAGATCACTTCCAATATATATAAATCTTCCATTTATTTTTCCTTTACATCCCTACCTTAGCAATTCCTCATAGAATTAATGTCTGCAGCAGAACACTACAGACACTGGTTTTCAATTGCACTCGATAGCAGTTTTGACATGGTAACAATAAAAATTCCTACACTGTGCATTCTTTAAAAATAAATTATAAAGAAATTTCATTAAATGCTATTCTCGAAAATATATTAAAATTTTCATCCTTAGAACACTACAGATGCTGAAAAGTCCATAAGAAAACACTAATTGCAAAGATCATAGTGCTATTTAGTTTGAAGCAATACTATGATGCTTTTGTTAAACTCAGAATTAAAACTGTCCCCCATATAACACACTCCATCCTATACATTTTCACAAATGTAATTACTAAGAGACTTATAAATGTCATGAGATCAGACCTTATTGAATCATTACTTCAGTCACCTCTGAAGGGCAGAGTTGGTGTTTCTTTTACTCTTTCATACCATTCTTAAACCTATGCTGCAACTCAGAAAAATCAATCTCCCAAATTTAAATACAAGAATAGTTTATTTATATTGGTTGTATGTTACCTGAAGCTTTTCTGGACCCTCTTTTTTCCTCACCTCTAGTTCATTTCCAGACTATTCTCTGGTCTGTCTTAGAAACAGTCTCTTAAGTTAGAGTGAATAAGAGATACAGTCTTCTGCATAAAAAAAATGTTTTTCTTGTCTACATTACACTAAACTACTCTTCTCTGTATGTTTGTCCATTAGCAGACTGGGGAGAGGAAGAAGATTCAATTATAAGTCAGGTTGAAAGGAATTACAATGAGTATGAAGAAATTGATCCAACTGGAATTTATTGCCATTCACTATTAATGTATAGCCATTAAGGGGAATTGTATTAGCATGGGGGTTTGTATGCTAACACCATCACTCCTTGTATAGTAGAGACAATCAGGATGGGACTCTGCATCATCAATTATGAGTCACAAATGACCTTTTCTAAGACGCAGTGCAAAAGGTGGCTGGCAGAAATAGCTAGTCACAAAGATGTGGTGCATCGCGTTAAAGTGTAATGTATACATCCATTTCAGATAACTGGTCTTTATTGACTGTGCATGGAGTTCTGGAAACATTGCAAGAAGAAGGAAGGCAAGAAAGGACATCAAATTGTTTGCAAATTTTGGGACATCATTATTCCTTCATTAGTTATTTCCACCTGTTGTAAAGCTACCTACCTCTGTTCTCAGCTTGTCACCACCTGTTAAGAAGAAATAATTTAGTTTCCCAAGTGTTCCAGCCAACTGGAATCATGCCATTTATTCCTAACTTCTTTAAAAGATGTTTTCTCTAAATGTCCTTCCAATTTAAACAGGAACTCAAAAACTTCTATGCTATTTTTAAATTATTTTTAATTTTTTTTAAAAAAAAGTATATGATAAAGCATAGTTTAATGCTTAGTCTGATTATCAGACAGAAAATTATGCACATTTAAAAAAACAGCAAAGAAAGCAAATTTGGGTAGTCTTACATTAATGCAGCCACGATTATATCAGCAGGATTACAATTCCAGGTTCATCACTGAGAACAAAAATGGTTCTGAAGTGTATCTGTGATAGACAAATTCAAAACTTTTCCTCCAAACCTCCTAGCCCCTAATATTGTCACTACATGACTGATCAATGGCATGATGCACTGCTGAAGTACTTCTGGTTTTATCCATCTCTAATGCACATGTAACTTTATTGCTTTATGCTTACTGATACTGAATTTCATCTTCCATTTTATTGCCTAGTCATGCTGCTTTATGAAGACATGCTTTAATTCTTCATAGTCCACAGAAATATTTGTAAGATTTTCACGCTCATTAACCCTTAATCCATCAACTGTGTTGAACTGAATTTGACCCTGCTTGAGGCAGATCACTTACGTCACTAAATCTTCTTAGTAACACTCAAGAAAATCAACTTTTCCTACTTACTGTTTTTCCCTCCCTTTCCCTCAGCTTTCCCCAGTTACTAATTCCTGAGAGGGCTTTCCCTCTTCTCCAATGTGTTCAGTTTCTTTAGAAGCATTTGGTGACGAAGCTTTTTGAAAGCCTTTTGAAAATTCAAAGAGTACTATACTGACTGGCTCATTAGAGGTGAATGCTGTGAAATGAACCAAGAGGGGGAAATATAAATACTACCATGAATGTGTAAAATGAATCATCATTAAGCAAGAAACAAAGGCCACAAAGGATTATGCAGTGAGGGGAAGTCAACCGATAGTAAAAGGCCTGTCGAACTCTGGCATCAAAGTGGCTTTATGCCTATATGCACTATGTCTAGTTAAATTATAATCAGAACTGAGTTGTCAAAATACACCCTTCCAGCATCAGATAGATACAGAAAATTGCCATAGTCATGGGAGGTGGGGTGGGAATTATTTCCATTGCCCAGGGCATGGTGCCTCCCTGTGCCCCGTGGTAAGTCAGGCATGCTGAGCAGAGCTGTGCCTCTGTTAATGCTCCAGCCCTAGCCTGGCCTGTATTGATCTTGAAGTCATAGCTGAGGGGTTTTATTACATTTACCAGTCCATCCAAGTCAGTCAGCTCTTGGGAATCCCAAGGGCTTTTTTCAGAGCCATACAGAGAACTGGCCAAGCTACTCAAAACAGTACTGTTGTTTTTATATCATGGTGGTTGAAGATCCTTAGAGACTCGTCTTACTCCAGTATTATAAAAGCAATGCACCAGAAAAAAATGCCACTCTTAATACACTTAGATTCTAATTTTAAAACAAAGCACAGGACAGAAATGTGGTTAGTTGCCTTATTTCCAGTTTTCTGATAGAAGAAATGAGGAAGTGAGGAGGCTTGCTCAGTCTTTTAAAAAACTTGAATTATAAACAAGTATATCCCTACATACAGAGCAATTCTTATTTGAAGAGTGTACTTTTTAAGTCTACATGACATGCACATCTTGCCCTTAGAGTCTTTTCACTCCTTATTTGGGTTTAATCCCTAATCATCTCAGTAGGAACAGTGTGTGAATTAGAAAGAGAACACTGGATTTAGTACTTTCCTTTTGCATAATGAAGTAATTCAGATAAGTCTCATTTTAGTCCAGACAAGCTATTTGAGACTTAAAATATGCTATTTTTGTGTGACTCAGTGAAAAGGACATGTCAGCTTACTATGATATGTCATTGATCAGTCAAGATGCTGTAGTAGATAACCTACTTAAATACAATGCATTTTTTTAGTAATTAAAATGTTGAGGAGGAAAAAGATCCCTTTTTCTTACTGAATAATTGAAATTAAAATTGAGCTTCAGCGCTGCTATGCTGAATTATTACAAAGCCCATAACACTCATTCTTCCATGTCTGCTATAAAAATCCTTCCATACATGGATCCAGCAGGTTGACATAAGGAGAAATTAACGAATTCTCTACAAATCTCTTGGGTTTTATTTATCTTCCCTATAGTACTGTTATCACCATGGATTACGGCGTATTTGTCTACCAGTGCTACATCATTGATCTTTAAGTTACACTTAACAGCTAGAGTATGGCAAAACTAAAACTCAGAAGAGAGTTAGGAAAAAGTTTAGTATTTATTATATTTAAGAAAGGTTTTACCTAGTGAAAAGGAAGCAATAGGAGCAATCTTTTATAATTTAGTGCAGCAGAATGCACAATCCAAAGTAAAAGTCTATTTGTAGACTTATGCATAAACGGATAAAAGTGCTACATAGAAACAAAAATGTTATAAGAAAACTACTTTCTCACAGCAAATTTTTGTATATATATATATAATGCATATTTATTATATAAATATATATTCTATAACATAGAATCATCATAGAATCATAGAATGGTTTGGGTTGGAAGGGACCTAGAAGATCATGTAGTTCCAACCCATCTGCAAGGCCAGAGACACCTTCCACTAGATCAGGCTTCACAAAGCCCTGTCCAACCCAGCCTTGGACACTTCTGGGGAGGGAACATCCATGATCTACCCAAGCAACCTGTGCCAGTGTCTCACCACCCTAACAATAAATAATTTCTTCCTAACATCTAACCTAAATCTCCCCTTTTCCAGTTTAAACCGTTACCTTTCATCCTATCACTACACACCTTGGTAAAAAGCCCCTCCCCAGCTTTCCTGTAGGCTGCTATGAGGGGCTACTATGAGGTCTCCTCAGAGCCTTCCCCTCTACAGGCTGAACAGCCCCAACTCTTTCATCCTGTCTTCATAGAAGAGGTGATCCAGCCATTGGATCATCTATGAAGCCTCCTCTGGACTCACTCCAAGAGCTCTGTGTCCTTCCTGTGTTGAGGGCTCCAGAACTGGACACAGTACTCCAGATGGGATCTCATGAGTGCAGAGTAGAGGGGCAAGATCACCTCCCTCAACCTGCTGGCCACGCACGTTTTGATGCAGCCCAGGATATGGTTGGATTTCTGGGCTGCAAGTGCACCTTGCTGACTCATGTTGAGCTTTTCATTGACCAGCATCCCCAGCTCCTTCTTCTCAAGGCTGTTATCAATCCATTCTCTGCCCAACTGGTATTTGTGATTGGAATTGCCCCAACCCAGGTGCAGGACCTTGCACTTGGCCTTGGTGAACTTCATGAGGTTGGCATGGGCCCACCTTTAAAGCCTATCAGTGTCCCTCTGGACATTCCAGCATGTCAACCAATTCACACAGTTTGGTGTCATCAGCAAACTTGCTGATGGTGCTCTCAATCCCACTGTCCATATCACTGACAAAGATGTTAAGCAGCACTGGTTCCAGTAGTGAGCCCTGAGGAATGCTATATATTACAGCTGCACTAACTGAGAAAGGCTTATTTTCATCAACACAGCAAGTTCTTTTCACTGCTTTTCCCTGATCCCATCAGAAAATGCTTCATTTTAAAGAGCTTAACTCCGCGAGTACCAAGTCCCCTTCATTTTTAGAATATCTGCTAGCTCCGTGAGATTACAAAGGTCATTCAAACTAGGAAAAATGTGCATTCAAGATATATTGTTGCCTTAGAAGTAGTGTCTCCTTACCATCTATGTATACGAAAAAAAAAGCACCTCATATAGCTGTCAAGCCAGAACTCACCACTTCAGATTTTCATTGTTGAAACACATTCTGGTGTGTCTTGTTAGAAAGACCAGTGTTCATATTACTTGCTCTGTATGTGTGCACCAGAAAAATGTGTACAGGCTGTCCAAATGGGCTACGTGTTTCCTTTTTGTTCTTTCATAGTACTCTGAATAACAACATCAGCTTGTAGCATGAAGCTGCTTCCTTCTGTCTCTCATACTTCTTTGTTTTCAGTGTCTGAAAGATTATGGCTTGCTTTTAATAATTTTCTGCAGGTTTCAGAATAATGATAAAAGTTACAGATCGCAGGCAAATAGCAAGTGTACATTACTGTTGGATTTGTTGTTATTGATTTTGGCTGGATTTTAGTAGATGTTTAGCAATTATCCTTCCAGAAAGATGTGTTAATCTTTGAGAATAAATTGCAGAGCTGAAGAAAAGAAAAAAAATTACTAATAGCCATAAATAGTTAACAAGTTTGTTTCACTATAGTTTTTATCCAGTGTCAAAGTATCAGATGACACTTGCAGGCAGAGTCAGGAAATAATGACTATAAGGAAAGGTGTAAGGAAAAGAGATTCAGCTCTCTCATTGCAAACCACAAGCTGGGAAGCATGTCTGGGGCGAAGCTGGGGGCTGGTATATTTGTAGCGTATATGGAGAATTTGCATCATGATACTTCCAGGGTTCTCTAAATTAAACCAGGAACTACTCCATTCCCTGCTGTACCCCAGAACAGGGAGTCTGCAGAGGGGCTTAATTTGAACCACAGCTACCACTTTTTGACAAGGAAAGCAGCCATCTCTCTCTTTCCACCACTGCTCTGAACACATTAAGTTTGTTGTCAACTCTCACTTAGACTGCTCAAGTTCATGTGTTGGATAGCACGACACATGCACGCTTGTTGTCCATGGTGAGTCACCCAGAGTGATTTTTCAAGTGCTGTCCCTATTTTGAGTGTCATATACCCACAGGGGTTGTAAATAGGGAATAGCGGCGCTTTTGATTCAACCGTGCTGCCACTGCAGGGTGCAAAGGAAACTGCTGTAGTTAGCCCAGTCCCTCACCCATTAACAGAATGCCCTCAACCCATGCAGCCTGAGTACTGCTTCTCAGCATGGCTGCTGTCACATTCATTAACCTGTGTTTAGAGGGGTTGTCTTGAGCTTAAATGCTTCCTTTCAGGTCTGCAGAAAGAGATTCCCTCTTCTCAGTGCAGAAGGAGCATGAAAAGACATTAAAATCAAAGTTTTCACAACCTTTTAACTTGCCTGTAAAATGTAAAGGGATTCAAAAGAACAAAGGAATGAGAACTGCAAGACTGAGAAATTGAAAATCTGCTGAGTATTGTGGAAAAGCAATTCACCTCAAGGAAATAGCCTCAGAGATAGGATTTTCTTGCCTTCCTGAACATTTTGCTTATCCTTTAATCAGGAAAAGAGTCTGGTAGTCTAATTTGCAAAAATTATTTTTTAAAGAAAATATTTCAGCTGTTGAACTGTGCATGCTGTGAATAGTTCAATCAAAAAGAATTGTATTCTCATTCACATCTATAGAATTTATTAATATTAAGATTTGCCTTGAAACTTAACAGCAGATACAGAACAAAAGCATAGCCTTCTAATCTGCCCTGCAGCAGCATTGCCAAGTCAGTGTGTGGAGCCTTTGGTGCTGCAGATTATTAGAACTGCAGATCAAGCTGTCACTGTTAGAAAGTTTTGAACTGTGGCTCTCGGGGACAAACCACAAGCTGTCAGTGGAACTGCATGCACAGCAATTTGTAATCCTACAAGCAACACAAGTAATTCCTTTTCTATCAGATCTTGCTGGCCTGGCTTTTCTATATTGCGAGATGGGGCAGGTATCAGTTTTTAAAAAACCCTGTAGCTATTTGAGTTTGATCTTATATATAATAAGTAGTAGGTGTGTGAAAAAGAACCTTTTTCTTTCTGACTGTGGCATGGGACACATGGTTTCAGAGTCTGTAGAAAATAATTAATGAGCATTTTCCAGCAGCATATTGACATTTGTGAAACTATGTGTGCCTGTAGAGCAAATATTTTATGAATGGGGCACCAAAAGAAACAGTATAAAAGAAACTTGAGCCGAAGCTATCACCTGTTACCACTGTGGAGTGCCCCTGATGGCCCAATGCCCCCTCGGTTTTCTCAGACCTATTTCCTCCCTACTGCAGGATGAATGTTTTACCGAGTACCCTCAGTGTGACAGTTTGTGACATCGGAAGAAATCTGTGGATTTTCTCTTGCCATCCAAGAGCTGACCAAAATGCTGCAAGCGTTAACATGTGAAAGTAGACAGCTATCTCTGGTCATAAAATTACTAGCACATTTATGAATAATTATGTCTTAGTTATAGAGCTCCTTAGAATAATAAAAAAAGAGAGAAGTATAGGAAGAAATTAATATATTTTTGTATGCCAGCATTTTTGTCAAAATATGAGGGTACACTTTTTTTCTTTCTTTTAATTTTTTTTTTTAGCTGAGTTTTGTAAGAAGTCAGTTCAGCATTTCTTCAGCTAAGACTTCATTTTGCAAATTTTCAGGAGTTTTGTCTTCCCCAAAAGACGTGACATACATAAGCAATGCAGGGAACAATATTAAGACTGACATTTTTGAATGATCATCCAGGATCCCTCAGCACAACACCAATTCTTTTCCCATGTCAGTGCAGTCTTACTTACAGCACTGGATACCCACTGGAGTAGCTGACAGCCAAATGTGACCCAGTGCTATTATTTTATCTGTCTGGAGGCTAGAAGTAGGAAATCTGCAAAAATTTATTCTGCTTGCCTGCAAAACAGTTTCTGCAGATGAAAACAAATCGAAGGAAATGCAGAACAGTTTCTAAAGCTACAGTGAACACAAGCCTTTGTTCTATGCTGAGAATTGGCCAATGTTTTTTCCCGAGGAAACTGAAAATGTGGCGTAATATCATGTGTATACCTTTCAAAGAGTAGAACTCACCTGTATTGGTGTGTTTGCAGAAGACCTCCTATGCTAGTGACTTTGAATGAGCAGAACAGGGGACATGGTGCCGTGTAGGGTCTATGAAGGAAGAATCACTGATTTGAATCAGATGAAGTGTGTACCTACAGCAACACTATTGAAAGAACAGCAGACAGGGTGTACAGTCTGTGTGTAGTCATACAGACCTTTAGAGGACTGAGTATTAGCTGAATTTAACACTAAAACAGAGGCCACAGATACCACTGAAACAGATTGCCACTGAAACCACTTTAAGCAGTGTCTGAGTCTAAAAGGTCGTTGTTTACTAGAGATGGCCACACTGGTTTAAGTGCTAAAGTTATTTTCTACTTTAGACATAGAAGACAGCAGTGCTTGAGTGCAAAACAATTTGATTATTTTTTTATTTTTGTATCATCCTGTCAGCTAGTATCTTGTAATTTATTTACTTCAGAGAGTCCTTTCCGTTTAGTACAGTTTTTTTTCCTCTGTCTCTAAAATGCAGGTGGTCCGACCATACCAGACAATGTCTAATCCCATGAGTAAGTTGACAGTGCTCAACAGTATGCATTCTCATTTTATTTTGGCTGACAATGGGACTACTGGTAAATACGGAGCAGAGGTGAAACTTCGTAGACAGCTGGAAAAACACATTTCACTTCAGAAGATAAATACAAGTGAGTAATATTGTCCTTGTGTTGTTTTATAATTGCAATTATATCAAAGACATTATGGGTTTGAACAAGTAATAAGATCTGTATATTTGGGGTAATAGGTCTACTGTCTAAAATGGTGATCATGAGCTAATAAAAGCAAATAATAGTGAACCTGAGTAACAAAGTTTTATTTTATAGTACTGTGATTACGGTTACAGAAAAAATAATTTAGTTTGTTTCTGTTAAATTTCAAGCAGTATTGTCAAGGCTCTTCAGGTTCAACATAGGCCTTTGGTACCCGCATCTCCTTAAAACTGTATACAGTTTTCGTTCCCTTTTTTTTTTTTTTTTTTTTTTTAAAAACAGGGGAATTTTAAAGGGTAGGAAA